ATACGTCTGTGTACGTTCCGTATCACTCGTTCCGCATTCTTCGTAGTTCCGCATTTTAGTAACGACCTTTTTATCATGTTTTTTTTTAATCATCACATTACCATGTGCATGCACTAAGTTCCTTTTTTATAGACCTACGCGTAATAATTGGCCGCCATTTTGGACGGCAAAAAGATTCAATGGAGTAAACTATAAAAATGATTTGTCTGGTAGGTCTGCAGCTCTTTCAAGCTACAAAAGTTGGTTGGAAGAAAGAATGGATGCTGCCAAGCATCTCATAAAACAGATTTGGTGCAATGTGCAGCAGATTCTTTACTATAGCTTGCTTTCTGCTTTTGCTCATTGGTTCACCATAGAAAGTTGCCGTCCATGGAATCATAGATATTAGAGTAAAATGAAAAATATAAAATGAAAAATTAGAATAAAATATCTGTGATGAAATTTATTTCCTTCTCTACCACACCTACTGCCGTAATCCGTATTTACTCTAGTGACGTAATTCATTCTCAGCCCAGAGGTTTATTGCTGTGCTTTTATTGATCAAAATGGTGGTGCTGTTACATATAATAAAGACCAATCATTACCAACAATGTCATTATTATTATTATTATTATTATTATTATTATTATTATTATTATTATTATTATTATTAAATGATTTACAAAGTGTGACAAAAGGAAATTTATTAAAGATAAAGATGGCTTCACTAAGGCTAAGTTCACTGCTAACCTGACTGATAGTTCTGGTCCTATTGTCTCTGATATATCCTTTACTACAACATTAAATTTCAGTAATTATACTGTGGAATGTAGTGCATCTGGTCCATTTGGCAGCTATAAACCAGGACCACCAGTTAACTGTACTATACTGATAGCAGGTATTACGAATACCTTATTAATAAAAATAATCATCATTTTTCTTTGAAATTCATTCAGGTGTTCCATCTGCTCCTGTTCCTAATAATCCTAACTTCACCTCTGATGCTCTTACCTTCTCCTGGTCCCCATCAACCAGTCCTTGTTTATCTCATTACAGTGTTAATGTTACTAGTATTGAATACACTATCAATACTACTGATACTAGTCTGAGTTTACCAGTACCTTCAACTAATGATACAGAATATTCTATTAGTGTAGTAGCTGTTGATACTGGTGGTAGATATAGTGATGCTATAAATAATGTTACATATGTACCTAATGGTAAGTAATAGTTAGCAATAAAATGTATTTATTTAGTTCCTTTATCTGTTGTGTTAACGTCAGATTAGCAAACTGATTATCCTACCTATACTAATGAAACTGTTAACATCACTGTATCATGGGATCCAGTAAGTATACCATGCATCATTGTTAATCAATATCAATTTTATAAATGGTATTATTTATAGCCACAGTCATCATATCTTCCTCCTGTAACTCAATATAATATTCAGTATAACATTTCTAATGAAATTCAGGATATATCAACTGATGTTACTTCACAAACTCTGTCTGGTTTTTCAGTTGGTGTAGTATATACTGTTTCAGTGGAAGCTGTTAATGTATTAGGAACTGGTACTGTTGCATCAGCTACAATTAGTTAGTGTATTGTTAATCATGTACTTAGTTATACTTGCTCTATCAACAACAGAAGTACCTTTAAGTTAATTTCCCTTCTTCCTTATTCCAGGCATTAGTGCAACTCCTAGTCCTACTGAACCAACACGTATGGGATTATAATATTCTTTATTATTAATTATTGATTATTTATAGTTAGTCCTGGTGTTATTGCTGGTATAGTTGTTGCCATCATTGGACTGATTCTAGTTTTGGTTATATTGGGGATTGCTATAGCATGTTATGTACACTAGGCAACATGTTGCTTGCAACATTTGTGGTTACTTTGATCTT